TACATGAGTTAAACATACAAATTCCCAGTCGTTTCCAGACAGGACTTACAACACATCCTGCTGATATCCCAGCTGCACATGAGACTTACCACACAAACTGTGCGAAATAACACTACAACACGTCACACCCCGCTTGGCGACACTGCAATCGTGGCACACACTGCAAACAATTCGGGTCTCAGCGCAGCTGGGAATCAGTGCTATGTATGGCCTGTGATCTGAGAGATAAAGGGAAGTGGCACAAACAATTAAAATAAAAAAAAAACAAAAGAGAGGTTAGTCCGCCCTTACAAAACTTACTCTCAATCAATAACCGCCTCTACGGCTGGACGGACTAACCAAAACAAAATTACAAATCAATCAAAAGAACAAAAATAAAGGACAGCAGAGACAGCACAGAATATTGATCAGTTTCCCTGCGCGCAGTCGATCTAGGGCTTGATCAATTCTTCTATTAAAATTCGTGGTCACACGACAGCATACCCACTCGCACCTGAGTGAATTAATTGCCTCTGGTTTTTTCCACAGAAGAGCGCTGACTTCACCCCACACACCCACTACCTTTTCACAGCTCTTCAGCCAATCACCTGGCAGAGAGCAACAAACTGCCAGGTGACACTTGTTACATTTGTAAAAGGAAAAAGCTGAAAATGTAAATAGTTAAAAGTTGAAATGTGAATAGTTGATTTTTGTATTATATGATTTATTTATTACATTTTATGTGGAGTGAATAAATAAAAGTATATTTACGGTGGCTCCTAGAGACAAAGCACGTACAAACTTCAAATCACGTACGAACCCTGAAGCACATACAAACTCCAAAACACGTAAAAACACGTACAAACTCCAAAACACGTAAAAACTCAGAAGCACATATAAACTCAAAACACGTACAAAAGACAACAGAAGTGCGTGTTTGTGTTTTGGAGTTTGTACGTGCTTTGTCTCTGGGGGCCACCGCTTATATTTATATATAAATATATATATATAAATAAAACCACTTTTTTTTTTTTACATTAGTAATTTCTTTTTGTATAATTTTATATTATTGTTAATAATAAATTAATTAAAGCAACAAAACAACCTGAAGAGCCGGTTTGGAGCCGAAAGAGTCGCCTCTTTTTAGTGAGCTGAGCCGAAAGAGCCGGTTCTCTAAAAAGAGCCGGAAATCCCATCACTAGTTGAAACTGTTCTATCCCTGTAAACAAAATACAGCAGCGTCCCCCGGTGTGCGCTGTTGCCATCCTCCCCGCTTACAAACTGTCGGATGACGGATTATCTGGGAGGGATGATGCATTAGGTAGTGGGCTGAAAAATTCAGTAATTTTAAATGATCTTGAATCATTGCCGATTTACCTGAAACTGCTCAAACTGACATCATTACTCTGATAAAAAATAATTTGTCACTTTTATCTGATCACCCGCACCAAGCGACTGTCTTATGTCATGACATTGATGTGGAGGGGCATAAGCCAATTAAACAACATGCATACCGGGTGAATCCAGTGAAAAGGGAAATAATGCAGAGAGAAGTCAATTATCTCCTAGAGCATGGCTTAGCTGTTCCAAGTGCTAGCGCATGGAGCTCTCCATGTGTGTTTGTGCCCGAGTCTGACAACACTCCTCGATTCTGCACGGATTATCGAAAGGTGAATGCGGCCACTAAAGCAGACTCTTTCCCATTACCTAGGATGGATGACTGTGTTGATCGGGTGGGATCCGCTACTTGTGTGATCAAATTGGATTTATTAAAGGGATATTGGCAGGTTCCTTTAACCGCAAGAGCGTCTGCATTCGTTACCCCCGATCACTTCCTTCAGTATACCGTGATGCCCTTTGGCTTGCGTAATGCGCCAGCGACATTTCAGCGCCTGATGGCTAAGGTTTTGGCCGGGGTCCCTAACTGTGATGCCTACTTAGATGATGTGGTCATTTATTCTGCTTCCTGGAGCAGTCATCTCCAAACCCTCTTAACTGTTTTCAAGCGTTTCGAGGAAGCATCGCTCACTGTAAATCTGACCAAATGTGAGTTCGGAAAAGCCACCATCACCTAGCTCGGAAAGCAGGTGGGTCATGGCCGAGTGTGCCCCGTAACCGCAAAGGTGGAGGCTATTATTGAGTTTCCGATTCCACAAACAAGGAGGGCGTTACGCCACTTCTTGGGAATGTGTGGTTACTACCGCAGTTTCTGTAAAACCTTTGCCTCTGTAGTCGCTCCCCTGACTGACCTGTTCAGCCCGACCAAACCCTTCACATGGACTGCGGCGTGCCAAACTGCTTTTGAGTCAGTGAAAACTTTACTGTGCAGTGCCCCAGTTTTAGTAGCACCTAACTTCGTGTCTCCTTTTAAGTTGGAGGTGGACGCCAGCGCAACTGTAGCGGGTGCGGTCCTGCTGCAAGTAGATCAACACGGTGTGGACTGTCCAATCTGCTATTTCTTGAAGAAATTCAATAAACACCAAATGAACTATAGCACCATCGAAAAGGAAGCGCTTGCATTGTTGCTAGCCTCACAACACTTCGAGGTCTACATTGGGTCTAGCTTCGTGCCCGTTCAAGTTTTCACAGATCATAACCCACTTGTGTTTCTTTCGCGGATGCAAAACTCCAATCAGCGACTCATGCGCTGTCAGGGTTCCTGGATCATTGACCCAGTGTCTTTTTTCACATGTATGTTTCCTGTTTTATTGTGTCGGTCATCTGTCTGTGTGCTGTATGGTTACTTCTACTTCCTGTGTCGTTAGTCAGGCTTGGTTAAGCGGTGTTGTCACCTGTTTCTATTCTTCATCTTTATCCGATGTATTCAAGCCCTCTGTTTCCCTCCGTTGCTTTGTCATCGGCAATTCTGCGTTTTCAGATCAGTCATTCAGTTTAGTAACAGCATCTTTACAGGTCTACCTAAAAAAATCAGTCAGACAACTACAGCTCATTCAGAACTCTGCTGCTCGAGTCCTCACTAAGACCAAAAAAGTGGACCACATCAGTCCAGCTCTGAGGTCTTTACACTGGCTGCCTGTCCGTCAGAGGATAGACTTTTAAGTCCTGATGTTGGTCTATAAAGCTCTGAATGGTTTAGGACCAAAATACATCAGTGACCTCCTGACCCAGTATGAACCTTCCAGATCCCTCAGGTCATCTGGATCCGGTCTTTTATCAGTTCCCAGAGTCAAAATTCAAATTCAAATTTTATTTGTCACGTACACAGTCATACACAGTACGATATGTAGTGAAATGCTTGGACAACTGCTCGTGACCTAAAGAAAACAAAAAAGGAAAAGGCTATGAATAAGAACCAGAACCAGACACGGAGAAGCTGCATTCAGCTTTTATGCTCCTTATATCTGGAACAAACTCCCAGAAAGCCTCAGATCAGCTGAAACACTCAGTTTATTTAAATCCAGGTTGAAGACTCACCTGTTCTCAGCTGCATTTGAATAAAGCACCAAATCCACACTTTTAAGCTTAAATTTCAAAACTTACATTTAACTACTGATTTTATCTACTGTTCTGATTTTATCTGTTTTGATTTTATATACTGGTTTGTTTGTTTGTTAATTAGTTAGTTAGTTTGTTTGCTTGTTTTAATCAATTTTAAATCATGCTTTTTATTTGGTTTTGTTTCTAATGTCTCTGTAAAGCACTTTGAATCACCTTGTTGTTGAATTGTGCTATACAAATAAACTTGCCTTGCCTTGCATATTCTGCTCATCTTGTCTTCATGATAAACACCGTGCACATATACTCTAAAATTCACACACTGAACGTGACATGGCGATGCACATTCTAAGTGGATGGACGGTGTTAAAGGCAGTACTACACAGGTGAGAGTGAACACACTGCAGCAGGTAGATAACATCATCATCCACCTGCATGAGAGGCTGAGGCAAACTGAAGACAGTCGAGAGCATATTTCACCTGCAAGCACCGGTGTTAGGTTCACCTTTGTGACATGTGACATCAAGGCAACTGCTCTGAAGTCGCCAGAAGGGGATGCTTTCTTTGGTACCAGCACTAAGCATGATGTTGATGTCCTGGCGTCTCTGTTGGCCTGAGCAGTGAAGGAAACGGGTCCAGGTGCTGAGGTCCGGTGCAGCCTGATATGACCTCTAGTTTCTAACCAGTGCACAGCTCGTCTATCGTTTCCTGTTTATATTTCCTTCAATGCTGTATTTGGTTTGCAGCATTAAGACCTTTCACTGGTCTTGGAAACTTTATTGAAACAAGTCACTGCATCAAATCCAAAATAAGAAAAGTTTTCTCTGAAAACTTTAAAAATTCCCAGTTTTGATATTCAGTGTTGTAGTTGGACTCTGTATTTTAAACAGTTTATTTGATGCCTCTTTCTCCCTCCACACGCCTGCAGCTGGCTGGAAACTCCTCGGGTGTGTCTGCAGTTTCTCCATCAGTCCAGCAGGCGGAGCCAAACTCACAGACTGTTCATGTGGTGAAGAAACTTTATTACTGATCTCACAAATACAGGCCATTTACCATCTCACAACATCCATAACAATAACATTACCTTATCAACTCAACATCACTAATCAATCATCGATTGATCATGTTTATGTGTGTAGAACTGCAGCAGTGGCGAGGCAGGCTGTGTCAGGTTTGTGTGATGTCACAGACTTTGGGCGGGGTTTCAGTGCGGTTATCCGAATCTCAGCCCGACTGTGGACAAATACACTTATAGAGGTATGCGCGTGCGCGCGCACACACACACGTGTAGGTGGTGATGTTATTGCATTTCTCCTTACAGACTCCTTATCAGAACTATGAGCTTGTTTCCTTTGCATCTTATGACGTCATCAACACATCATCAAAGGTCCAACCGCTACTGCCGGACAGTGGACACACACAGGTACTACACACACACACACACACACACACACACACACACACACAACAGTTCCGTAGTTGAGGTGCTAATTTGGTAACTTTGTGTGTGTGTGCAGACTCAGCTCAGAGTATTGTGGCGTCCTCCAGACGGTGAGAAAAGTGTTCCCATTGGCTACATCATTCTGTCAGTCATCTGTGCGCTCCTACTCCTCTGCATTCCCTGTTTCATCTTCTGGAAGGTATCTATCAATCAATCAATCAACCTCTACTCAGCCAGTCATGTACAGACTAGAGATGGCACAATACCACTTTTTTATGTCCGATACCGATATCATAAATTTGGATATCGGCCGATACCGATATGAATCCGATATAGTGTGTTTTTAATCAATAACACAGTTTTTTAATATCTTGCTGCATTTTGTATAAGTTCATACTCAAGTTTAAATAAACAACAACACTAATGCTATTCTGTTATACCTGTATGTAAAAAACACACTGCACCCAAAAAATTTCATAGTTCAGCAATACTGATCAATCTAATAAACTTAAACCTACACCATCCTCCCTATTCTGGTATTTTAAAGAGCGCTTAGCAGAAATATTAAGCAACCTAACTAATAGGGTTCCAACTCCCAGCAACAACAAGAATAAATAAATAAAAAATAGGGAACCACCCCTCACGCTCCACCTCATGATGCTTAATCGACGTAATCAACCTTAATTTGATGCAGTGTGAAAACAAAATGCACAGAAATCAATTATTTTTCAAGAAATATTAAATAGATTCAACATCTTTCTTCAACAAAATTGCAGACTGCACAGATGGTACCTTCCCAAAGGAAAAAGTACTATAGCTTACTAGGGTATATATATTAGACTTAACAGTTACTATATACAATAATGGACTTCTATACATTTTACATCAGATTAAAACTTTGGGTGTAAGATTCAGATAAATATTAAATAATTAAAAGCTCGACATTTTAAATGAGAATAAGAAAGAAAAGTATGTCTTTGTGCCCCCTTTTCCCTGTTAATGCCCTATCGGCCCCCCTGGCTAAACTTTGCTAGATCCGCCCCTGCACAGTTACCAGCCGTCAGCTACGTAGAAAAAGATCCTCGAGTAGAAATTAATAATAAATAAATTCTAACAACAGCTGATCAAGCTTAAACGTGCTGCTGTTGTTCACCCGCTGGTTTCCTCTTTCTGGTGCAAAGTGGGCCAAAAACAAACAAGAGACACGGACTCGCGACAGAAAAGCCGATCAGCTGATCGTTAAGCAGTTTCATGATTGAAGTAGCAGCCGGAGAGCGAGAGGCAGTCGCTAGTTAAGCTTAACGCAGGAATGCTTTACAAACATTCAGAGATGGACTTACACACTTGCTTTACTTCTCTCGGGATAACTTTGTCGGAGATGAAATGCCGGGTTGCTAGCGAAGCTCCAAATGCTATCCAGACCACCTACAGGTCCCGCATGCCACAGCCACTCTATCACGTGATGCATACTGCTCCGACGTGCTAACGTTCTGAGGTGAGTTACGGCGTGTTGCAAGTTTTGTGAGGTGCTTTCGTGATATTTAATGGATCGGATTACATTTTTTATTTTTCTCCGATATCCGATCCAGTAATTTAGGTCAGTATCGGACCGATACGTAATATCGGATCGGTCCATCTCTAATAAAAATAAGTATCAGGTAAAATAATCCGATTGGATACCACGTAAGAACAATAAATATATCACTTTCTGTTGTAACCCTCAAACTGAAAGGTAATGTAACGACACTCATTTTCACTTTTTCACAAAACTAAAACATCACTACTCCCACGTCTAATGTCTGTAATGGAGTCGGAGTGAACTGGATCCGCACTCTGTGCTAATGCTCGCTAGGCAGGGGAACACATTTTGTCGGTACCTTGGTGCAACACAGATCCTGCCACAGTTTGTTCCCCTGGTTCAAATCACGGACAAACAGTATCCCACAGGTGTTTCTGTTTTTAAACTAGTGCTGTCAATATTAACGCGTTAATACGCCGTTAACACAGCTAAATGTGTTAGCGCGATCATCACGATTAACACGATTAAAATTGTTAATGTGCTTAACGCGTCTGGAGCGCAGAATGAACAAACTTCGGACAAACTGCCTCCAGTGATTTTGAGTCTACTGCGTTATAGACCAGTTAAATGTTAATCGCGTTAGTTGTGATGACGGCGTTAACGCGCTTAAGCTGCATTAATGCGTTAACGCCGAGTAACCCTCACACAGACTAAACTGCGTAAACTTGTTAACGGGGATTTGACCATTTTGATGCGCTAACACGGGTCAGGTGCATTAACGCGTTAGCGCTGACAGCACTATATTAAACCCATTTTGCACAGAGAGACATTATTTAAAAATGTGTTGATAGCACTGTTGAATATTCTTACACAGTAAAAAAACAACAACAAAAACAACTATATGTAAAATAATTACACCATAAAGATGGTTTGTTTTTCTGTGGCTTTTTTAATAGCAATCTGTAACGTATTGCAGTGACTTTTATTGGCTGAACTGTTTTCAAAAGGTTTGAGGTGTGAAATAAACTGCAACAGAGTTTGAAAACAAAATATGTGTGTGTGAGTGTGGTTTGGGGGGTTCTTGTAAAACATAGGGGTCATAGCAAAAAAAGTTTGGGAACCACTGATTTGGAGGATGTTTATGATTAATTAGCGGTTCGTGTCACATTCCGTTTGTCAGCTCCACAGTAATGTGATGATTACTGAACTAAATTCAGTTTGTACCTGTGCAGGTATCCTCAGTCACCGTGACGACCACGCTGAAGTCGCCTCAGCTAGTTTTCGTCTTTGTTTTGTGTTCACATGTAAAATGTGTGTGTGTGCAGCTTGGTTTCTTCAGGCGAACTCTCCCCAAAGATGAAGACGATGATGAGGATGAGCAGTGTTTGTCTGAAGGTCTTATGACTGAATAACACCGAGTGTCACATGATCACTGATGAAGCGGGAGGTGCTCTAATTATTGATCGACATCTTTATAAATGTCTGCACTGCAACATGTTTATCAATAAAGTTCACTTTCAGTAAAACTCAACAACAAACGTCTCCATCTGTAAACAAACAAACAGGAAATAAGAATGAGATGACACACGAAGCTCCCACTGATCGCGCACACACACACACTTGTTCTCCTCCGTTGTGAGGACACTCAGTCACCCTGAACTGAAACTTCACCCAGGCTTTCTTTGGTCAAGGTCAAGGTCAAGGTCTGACCTTGACCTTGTGCTGTCTTTGTGCTGTCTGACCAAGCCTAAAGCCTGTTTCAGGGGTTAACAGGGGTCACCGTGGTGAGCATGCTCACATCAAACAAGGCAACATCATCAGAGGAACAGCTGATACAGACCAAGGCAGAAAAAAGTTCTTGTGATGCTTACAGCCACTCTGACAGCGTCCCCCATCAGAGCGCTCAGACTTTAAAGTGGAACTCGCTGCAGTATGTCGCAGATCAGAGTGAATGAATGTGATTGGTTGAACAGATACTCAGGTGTGTGTTTGCAGCAGATCAGAACCATGGTCTGGATCAGCACACTATCACATGGATGTTCAGTCTGAGCAGCTGGAGCTTCATTTCCTGCTTTCAGGAACAAGCTGCACATGAACGAATGAGAGGAAACTTTGAGTCTTTATTCTCTCAGCTGCAGACTCGCTGCAGGGTCAAAGACCAAAGATCAAAACAATCATTAAATATAAAAAAACTTGTAGCTGTTCAGGCCACAGCTCTGATTGAACTGAGGAGACCAGCTTCTGCAGGTTGAAATCAGATGTTTTTGTGGTTTTTGGGTTCTGTGAAGCTCCAGATGTTTCAGTGGGTGATGGTCTGGGGCTGGGCTGTACTCAGGTCAGGAATGGAGCTCAGTGAGGTGTTAGGGTTAGGAGCAGATGTTGCTCTGCAGATGTACTTTTAATTAATGAGGCCTTCACAGGGGTCACAGCTACCCCCCACCCCTCAACCACACCATCAGGGACAATCAAGCTGATGGTTGATCTCCAGACTGGACAATGAAGATGGGAGGTCTTCCTCAGAGCCGCCGCCATGATATCCCGGTCTGTGAGTTCATCACTGCAAACCTCTAATCGCTGGGATTTACAAAGCTACTGGGAAGGAAGGAAGGAAGGAAAGAGGAGACAGACATGAGTAGTTTTCCACCCTGAGTTCTGCCTCACAGGCAGCTCCTCCTCTCAGGCAGAGTAACGCCTCCTTCACTATGGTTGGATAGCTGTGGCCGCTTCCTCTGATTGGTGCAGCAGTGGCCACCCTGTGAGTCGGTGCGGGGGGGGCTAAAGGCTGTTGTGCAGTGAGGGAGGATGAAGAGGATTACTACAGATTACAGAGTAGTTTATAACAGCAGAGAAGAAGAAGAGAGAGGCACACCCAAACCAACTGAGCCTACTGGCCTGACTGGGCCTGTCCTGATGCAGTGAACTGGAACCAGTCTGTTTGCGACTAACTGGACTTGGCTGGGTTCTAGAGGGTTGGGGTGGACTGCAGTGGTCTGAGGAAGAGGAAGTGGATGGATGGTTTCCAGGCGTACGGGGCGGGGAAGGCCGGCGGAGCGTTCGACCCTGCGACCTTCATCAGGCAGCCGCAGACTGTCGTTAGGATCCTGTGCTGGGTAAGTCCTGTGATGTCATAATTATGTCATAGATGGGTCTCTAAACAAACCAATCATTAGTGTTATGGACAAACCTGAGAGGTCTCACGGTGCCATCCAATCAGATCCAAGAAGCTGTGGTGTCATGTGACAGGCTCACCTGTTTTATCTTAGAGCGTTCAGGTGAGTTCACGTTCTCTCAGAGTCTCATCTGCTGAACGCACAGTCTCACATCCGCGCTGGTGCCTGGCCCCCTCCCTGAATGCCTTCCTCTCAAAACATGCCCCACATGTTCCCCAACACGTGTTTTAAGCTCCCTCCAGCAGGGGGATGAATGTCTGACAGGTTAGAGTAAATCCAGCAAAGTGAGGCAGAAAAAATTTAAATGGAGTCCCGAATTGTCCGAATTCTGAATGAAGTCTGAGGTTTGACAGAACCTCTTAGATCTGTCGTTCTGATCCAGTTCAGGTGAGTCTGGGTCCACCTGGTCTGCTGATGTCCATCCTCCTCTGATGTGCCTCTGACCTGAGAGATGATGGAAGTAAAACTTCAGGAGATCAGCATCTTCACAAATGTCTGCCTGTTCTGATGTTTAAGTGATCAGCCTTTGTGTTAATGTGTGACTGAGGGGCTCTGGTTCTGGTCGGTTCTCTCTCTGTTTGGGGTCAGCTGTCACTTTACTGGCTGCTGGGTCCTGAGAGTCCTTTGTGATTCAGTCATGAGATTGGTGTTAAAATTCCTGGGGCTCAACACAAGACTGCTCAAACAAAACCTCACTGTTTGACTCTGCAGCCACTCTGATTGGACAGCTCAGGAGAGAGACTGCCATGATTGGATAGAAACATGCAGTCCTCCACGCCTCCATAGCACAGGATGGAAGAGGTAATTGTGGAGCTGGGAGGTGTATGCTGCAGGGTAACAGCTGCTTGCTGGTTAAAGGTCACATGGAGCTCTGTTAGGTCCAGCTGTACATGATTGATTGTTTAAAAGCTGAAAACCTTCCTTTATTAACAGGTTTCTGATGTGAAATATTTACAGATCTACAGACGCTATTCAAGGACCACAAATAAAACACTCTCCAAAACTGTGATTGTCTTTGTATAAATGTATTAAAGTGTGACAGGAGCCGTGTATCCACTCGAGCTGCGCTGTGTTGATAGCATTTTTAATGACTGCAGTGCTTTCTTTGAGTCATCAGACTGCATGTGATCATGCCCACTCTGCTTCCAGAATCCAGCCATGGCACAAAAACATCAAACCTTGATGCCAAGGACATACCGTCCTGTTGCTAAGTTAACTTTCATTTTACAACAGCAGTCGGGTCCCAGCTCAGGCGAGAAACAGGAACTGTTTCAGTCGGGCCTCAGAGCCATTCATAGCACCGAAACTGTTAACAGTGACCTGCTACTCACATAATAGTCAGGTTAAAATAGAAAGCTGATTCTGACTGATACCACGGATGATAAAGTGTTCTCAGCTCACCTCAAACACTGTCAAATCAAATCAAAGCAGCTCAACAAACATCAGCAAACACACAAACTGTGTGCGTGCAGTTTGTCCCACAGTGTGTTGCAGCTAACGTCCAGCTGCTTATTTGTCAGGGACAGAAAAGACAGAGAGCTACGTTCACTCAGAGATGGAGACAGATAAGACAGAAGGAGAGAAAGGAGAGAGGTTAGAATTAAAGGAAGGATCCTCATTTAAAGCTCACATGGAAGTCCTCATGTTGTTAAATCTGTACTTTAAACCTAAACTTTTACTTGAGTAAAAAAGTTGCTTCAGTACTTAAACTTTTACTGGAGTATTTTTTAACACAGGTTCAAAATACTCCAGCAGCTCGAGTAGAAGTACAGCAGCTCCAGCAATGGTGCTGCCGTACTTCTACTTAAATAAAGAATGTTCCTACTTTGCTATCTCTGATGAAAGCAAATTCACACCAAGGAGTCCTGCTCTCAAAAACTGACATAGATAACCCTGCTGGATCTAAAAAATAAGTGCTTAACATTTTTAAACCGTGATTAGTGCCATCTTGTGTTACAGCACAGTGTGACATCACTGGGTTGGTTGGTTGCTGCTAATAGATTTGGGTTTTTTTATGTTCCAGTTTATTTTTTTTTCATTGCCTCACCAAACTCCTCCCACACCCGAGATTTTGCTTGGGAGAGACCCCAGTCCACAGGATCTTCACCTCCGTCTTCCAGTAAAGCTTCGACAGCATTCCAAGGCAGACTGAGGACATTGAGTCCAAATGGACCATGTTCAGCACATTGCTGGAGCTGCTGCACTGAGCTGCATCCACAAGGTGGTGGAGTCCATCATGCAGAAGGAGCTGTATGGAGCTCGGTTAGCCTGTGGGACTTCGAAAGCAGTCGATAGGTACCGACAGGCCTAGCAGAAAGCGGCTTGGGCAGTGGCCGACGCAAAAACTCCTGTGTGGGAGGAGTTCGGAGAGGCCATGGAAAAAGACATTCTGTGTGCCTCAAAGAATCCACCATTTCTCTCTTTGAGCCACTGATCTCCCATTGGCTGTTCCCGCTGAAACTCTGTCTGCCCCCTGCTGTCCTCTGTTGATGGCCTGGTAATGGTTCCGTGTCTGCGTTTGCTTTTTCATGTAATATGTAATTTCATGCATGTTTATAGGTTGTTGGGTTTATTTTTGAGAGAGAAGACAAATATGCTCAAAGTGCATTTATAAAAAAGAATATTAAGCAGATAAAGGTTCAAGATAAAAATGGCTGCTGTGTCTCTTTGGTCACTCAGGAGACCCAAAAGAAAGAAAGAGCCCCACACCCAGCCAGTAAACAGTGTTACTGCGGGTCACAGAAACAGAACGTTAACGTGATTGGTCAAAACTGTTGAGCGTGGCCTTGACATCTGACGTCAGCTCATGTTTCTTCCTCTGCGCCTTTCTAGACATCTCCTTATGTGGAGATGACACTCTCATTACCATACCAAATCCTGTTCATGTGGATGTAGTGTTTTCAGAGGCAAAACGAACAAATTATGAGATATATAGCCTTAAATATAAAATTACATTCTAACAAGGTCAGTACACTTTGATCAGTAAAAGCTGTGTTTAAACTTGCTCATTAATAAACTTTACTTCCTCGCTCCAGCTCTTCTCCATCGTCATCCTCGGTTGCGTTGCTAACGAGGGCTATGTCAACAGGCCAGAGGAGGTGGAGCCGTATTGCATCTTCAACCGCAACCAGAACGCCTGCAACTATGGCATCACCATGGGAACATTGGGGTTCCTATGCAGCGCTGCTTTCCTAGCACTGGATGTTTACTTCCCCCAGATCAGCGGCGTGAAGGACAGGAAGAAGGCCGTCATGGCTGACATTGTAGTGTCAGGTGAGTGTCCATCTCCTGTGCTTTGTAGTCGGTGGGATTAGGCACGTGTGTTTTGTGCATTTTGTTAAATGTGGTTCCTCCGT